GCGCGGGGAGGCCCGGGTCCCGCGGCCACGGCCGGCTCCGGCGGGTTCCAACCGGCCCCTCTCCCGTCTCGTGACGCCCGCCCGACGCTCACCATTTCCAGGCCTCCGGGTGTCCCAGTATCCTCCTCATGGGGTCCACAGCCACTGCAGGGTACAGGGAAAAGAAACTGCGCCCGAGCCACCTGCACACCTCAAGGGCAGACGACACAAGAAACAGAGCGCGGCCGAGCGTCGTGGCGCCCGCCCCGCCTTTGTGCAGCGCGGTCCCACCTACCGTATCGGCGTCGCCCCTGGTTGGACAGATCGCACGGCCCCATCCCCCCTTTGGCCTGAGTGACAGCCGAGTCAAACAGACCCTTTTTCTGTTCGTGTGCCTGAACCTGTGCCTGCCAGAGACATTGGCATTTAACCAGAACTTTTTCCAGGTCCTCAGACGGGATACTGTCATCTTCCTGCAGAAGCTTCTGAACGGGGACACAGATGTGTGCAGGGAATTCCAGGCTCAGTTTCCAAATGAAGCAAATCCCTTGGTGAGCTACCCTTTGAGGAGCAAGTCCAGAACAACACGGTCCCGACGCAAGGCCAGACTGGATCAGGAGGGTCAGATGTCCTGCAGGGATCACCCTTGTTCACAAACAGACACTTACAGGTGACCTCATCATAGGTAATAGAGTCTGGCTCCATTTTGATCTTTTACCGTAGAAGACCTTGAGGCTTCCACCCATCCCTTTCCCAACTCCATACATCTGGCACTTTAGAAAAGGACTTGGACTCTTAGGCACGTGGCTCTGCCAGGTAATTTGAGCCCCACAGTTCTAGCCTAGGCAAAGGGGCTCTTCTCAAACCAGCCATGAGCTACGAGATGTGTTCAATACAACTCTGAGGTATATATTTTGCACTGGAAAGAAATTTATTTTGGATCAGTTAAGAATGTCCCTAGAGAATTCTGAAATGTAAATGACTGATATCCTTAAGGCAATTCAATACCTATTTTCACGGATATAAGTGACAGAGGTTGTTTGCTATACCAAATTTTGGTCAGGCTCCTCTGAACCCTCTCCCAAACCAGGTCCATCCCTGTACTTCCTGTTAGATCCATTTTTAGCAAGAATCCTGTTAAGTCAGTTCAGGGAGCGTTTCCCAGCCCCGATATCTGATATCTCATCAAACTTTTCATCCCCACTATCCTCAGGTGATACAAGGGGACTTCAAAAAGTTTGTGGAAAAACAGAGTTAAAATATAACAATAAAAATTTAAACTTTATTACTCAACATAATCTCTATCAAGTTTAAGACACTTTTGTAAGTGATGATACCAGCCATTTAGTCCATCCCTAAAGAACTGAAGGTGCTGGGAATCTAACTATGTCAATGCAGTCCTTTTTACATTATTAACTGATGAAAAATGAATGCCCTTTAAAGATGTTTTGAGAGTAGGACACAAAAAGAAGTCATAAGGAGCCAAGTCTGGACTGTGAAGTGCATGCCTAATGATTTCCCCTTAAAACTCTAAAAAAATTGCTCTTGTTTAATGAAAGGAATGAGCAAGAGCATTGGCATAGTGAAGCTTTCCAGGCGTTTTTCTGCTAAAGCTTTGGCTAACTTTCTCAAAACACTCTCATAATAAGCAGATGTTACTGTTCTTTGGCCCTCCAGAAAGTCAATAAGCAAAATACCTTGAGCATCTCAAAAAAACTGTTACCATGACCTTTGCTCTTGGCTGGTCCACTTTTGCTCTGACTGGACCACTTCTACCTCTTGGTAGCCATTGCTTTGATTGTGCTTTGTCTTCAGGATTGTACTGGTAAAGCCATGTTTCATCTCCTGTTACACTTCTTTGAAAAAATGCTTTGGGTTCTTGATCTCACTTGTTTGATATTTCCATTGAAAGCTCTTCTCTAGTCTGCAGCTGATCTGTGCACAACGGTTTTGGCACCCATCAAGCAGAAAGTTTGGTCAACTTTAATTTTTTAGTCAGAATTGTGTAAGCTGAACCAATTGAGATGTCTGTGATGTTGGGTATTTTTTTATGCTGTTAAAATTGTTATCAGGGCCGGCCAGGTGGCGCACTGCTACAGTGCGCCGCTTGGGGGTGCGGCGGGGCTCCCGCCGAGGGTTCGGATCCCA